AATGCCATCCATCAGATTTTTTGGTCCTTTCTGGAACATTAGTGTCTGCAAATCAGCTGCCATATTCATCTTTATTGCATGAGTGTTATGGTTTAAAAACATATTGGCTGCTAAGTACTTTGTGATGTATTCCAAGGAGGTGAAATGCACTGAAAAAAATGGAAGTTATTTGCTTCTATTTACCAGAGAATTATATTGAATTCAATATTCTTAACTGGCTCCATTTTCCCGCAGTATTGATTGATCCAAAATGTGATAGTCCATGAGATTGCTATTAAAAAGGAACCTCTGCTTCCAAAGAAGACAAGAGAGAACTTGACCTTTTAATGTAGAACATATTCCAAAAGATAAAAATTTTGAAGAAAATGGATTTTTGTCATATTTTGATTGTCAGTAAGTACTGGGGTTTGCGGTTCATTAACGTCAGTAAACATGGAGATTTGTGCCTCCTTACTGAAGCAACAGTTTACTTAGTAAGTAGGTGGATTAGTCCCACACCAGATATAAACCGAACATTTGGTTTAGCTTTATAATATTTACATACTTAAAACTGAATGTCAAGATAAAAGCATACAGCATGGAAGTAGATTGCATTCTTAAATTGAATCTGTCAAAATAAAACCACACAATAAGTAAAATTGATTGGAGGTATGAAGATTGGGATTCCGAGCATTAGATTTACATTGGCACAAGTAAATTTGATATGATCACAACATACAAAAAGCAAAATACTGTGGATGCTGGGAATTGGAAACTAAAACATAACATGCTGCAAACACTCAATAAAGGTAGTGTCCATTGCTTGAGAAACACAGGCTCTAACCATCATCAGAACATGATCACAATATATCTAATGCAAAGCCTCAAGGCCCACTTTTGGCACAGGGTCTCTCAGTTACTGCTAACCTATCCATTTTCATTTAAATGCCATCTTTCTCCTAGGAACAGGAGTAGACCATAACCCCTTTGAGTCTGTTCCGCCAATGAACTCCGATCCATTTCTGATCCCTATCTTTTGATATGTGGACCCATCAAAAATTTAACACTTCCAAATTTGAAAACGTTAGTTGATTTAGCATCGACAGTCTAATGGGGGTACAGATCCAGGTTTCCACTACTTGGAGCTATACTGCATTTAAAAAAAAGCTTTCTTATTTAACTCCTGATTTGACTAGGGGTGGCATGGTGGCTCAGTGGTTAGCACTGCTGCCTCACACCCTTGGGTGACTGTATGCATGGAGTTTGCATGTTCTCCCCATATCTGTGTGGGTTTCCTCCCACAGTCCAAAGACATGCAGGTTAAGTAAAGTGATCACGCTAAATTGCCCATAGCATCTAGGGAGGTGCAGGTTAGGTGGATTAGCCATGGGGAATGCAGGGTTACAGGGATAGGGTAGGGGGATAGGTCTGGGTGGGATGGTCTTTGGAGGGTCAGCATGGACTTGATGGGCCAAATGGCCTGTTTCCACACTTTAGGGATTTAAGATTCCTGAATGGTCTTGCTCAAATGTTAAAATTATTCACCCTTGTTTTCTCTTTCCAGTTTTCTCCTGCTTAAAAATAGATAGTTTCATCCCACTGGGCTATATCTTTTCTCATTAAAAACAGCATGAGAGTATGGACTGTAGAATCTGTTCAGCAACCCTTCATTCCCAGTAAGGAAGGTGTGTTCACAGTAATTGCCCTGAGCAATGGGCTGACACCATCTATTGATTCTTCAATCCTCATATCCACGTGTGGCTCCCCAGTGGGAGCACACCCGAATTTTTTTTTATGTTAGATTTTGGGTATTTTAATGATATAAAATGAAGTAGCACTGCAAATTAAGCTGCTTTTTTCAGGAAAACAAGAATTGTTGCAGCTGGGCCATAATGTTCTCTATCAATCTGAAAAATCCACAGGGAACATTTGTGAAGCTTCATGCTCTATTTGTACTCCATATAAAATTCTCTCAATAACTTAAAACTCTGCCTTTATATGCAGAAGCCCAAACGCAGAGATAGCCACCATCTGCTAGGAAAACATTGACTCACTCATTGGCAAGTATTGTTCCATTATTACTTTCTTTGTAATTATAAGGATTGGTGCCATGAAATATTTGGACCTGCAACAATCACATCCTGTTACACATTGTCATGGCATTTATCTCTTGTTTAAATGGCTTTCTACAGTATTTGAATCTATTGCACTTGTTTTAAGCTAGCTCTATGTAACGTTTCTTATGCTACATGTAACAAAATTATCCTTATGAAGAACACTATTACAATTTTGTTAATGTCTCAGCCATGGCTCTGTGGCTAGCATTCTCATCCCAGAGTTTAAGTCCTATTCCAGGGATTGAGAGCAAAAATCAAAGATGAGACTCCAGTGCTGTATTGAGGGAGAACTGTACTATCAGAGGTGCCACAATTATGATGAGAAATTAAATTAAGGCACCTTCTGCCTGATTGGTTAGACTAAAAGATCCCATGGTGATATTGTGAAGAACAGAGCAGTTATCTCTGGTGCCCTAGCCAATACTTCGACCACAATCAATATCACAAAGACATGTTTATAACTTCATTAAGCCTGGATCAATTTGTGTTCCATGTTCCCAACATTACAACTGTGGCTACCTTTCAAAAGTACTAAATTGTTCAAAGTGCTTTAGGATGCTTGGTGGTTGAGTAAGGCACTATATAAATGCAAACCTTTTCTGTTGAACATTATGCTGGGGATTAGACTTTAGAAAAATTGCAAGTGCCGCAAATATTAATTAAAATCATGAAAATGCAGATATCCATTGTTTAAAGCATGTTCCAATAATACATTTTGTCAACTGGGAAACTCACTCGAATAATGTTGTTGGCTGTGACATCATTTTAGTTTAGCAAAATTACCGAGCATGCACCGATTACTGTATTGCAATGGTGCATGTTCAGTCTGTTTCTTCACTGTTCCTCTCCCCTCCCCCTACCGCATCCCAAAACCAGTCCAGCTCGTTCCCGCCTCCCTAACCTGTCCTTCCTCCCACCTCAAGCCGCACCCCATCTCCTACCTACTAACCTCAACCCGCCCCCTTGACCTGTCCGTCCTCCCTGGACTGACCTATCCCCTCCCTAACTCCCCACCTACACTCACCTTTACTGGCTCCATCCCCGCCTCTTTGACCTGTTTGTTTCCTCTCCACCTATCTTCTCCTCTATCCATCTTCTATCCGCCTCCCACTCTCTCCCTATTTATTTCAGAACCCCCTTCCCCGCCCACTTCTCTGATGAAGGGTCTAGGCCCGAAATGTCAGCCTTTCTGCTCCTATGATGCTGCTTGGCTTGCTGTGTTCATCCAGCCCTGCACCTTGTTGTCTCGGATTCTCCAGCATCTGCAGTTCCTACTATCTCTGCTCGCAGCTCCTCCTGAATTTCCCCACTCCCTCCTGCTCACAGCCCCTATTCCAACCACTACACTCCATCCTGACTCTCTTCCCCCTTACTCCCATTTGCTGGTTCCTACTCTTTGTCCCTATTGGAATCTTGTCACTCAACCCACCCATCACCCTTTCCAAACCTTTCCCTCTGGCCTGTTTGCCACATCTTGCTCTCTGTTTCCCAATCAGCATCCTGATTTCAAAACCCTTTCACTCATCACCACCACTCCTGATATCTCCTTCGCCAACCCCTCCAGTTTATTAATTCCAGCTTTCTCACCCTATCCAAAGCCTGGCTTGCTCTCCCTGTCTCCTGCCTTCCTCCTAATGTGGGAAAGGCAGGCGAGTAGGAGGCAGCAAAGGGACCGGCAGAAGCTAAGAGGCTGGAAGCAGCAAATGGAATGCAACGAGTGGGAGAGGGAGAGATGGTTTGGGATGGGGAAGTGGCGATCAGAAGGTAAGTAGAAAGGGAATGTTTGGACCACTTAGGCTCAAGACAGCCAATAAGTTTTTAATCTAAAAAAAATACAAGTACACAATGTTTTCCTGAATACATTTGGAATGGTAAATGAGAGAAAGTTGAACATTGTGGTTCTATCACCATCCAGAGAGAGAAAAGATGACTGGGATATTTTAACAAGGGTTCCGCACCAAAAACCTTTGTTTTTACAGGTGTCAGGGATCTTTTCGATGTATTTCCAACGTGTTCCTTACATTTGTTAGTTTAACCACGTACAGGTGGCATGAAATCTCCATTCACTGCAGGCTGCATTCTTAAGGAAAATAACAGGGAAACGGATCAACTCTAGCAAATGTGTTGCCGATTTATCCGTGGCGTTTCTGCAGGCAGGTGGAGAGACTCCCAAACAGCAGTAACGAAAACTACAGTAAGGGAACTCAGTGAGAAGCAGCGATGGGAGCGGCGTACACTGGCCAGCCGTAATATTCCACCACACTGTCCTCACCCTGACAGGTGGGGAACTGGCTCAGCTCTTTGAGCGACTTCAGAATTTTGTCCTTGATTTATTTTGCAGTATTGGTTGGCATGAGGCAACTAAGTAAACACATAACCTCGTTCAAACCGACAGGAGAGCTTCGGGGATTCATCGAAACGGACAATGTCCAAATGTTACAGGATGCTACTACATCTCCTGTGTCTTTCCCCCCACCTCCCGGCCCAGGCGGACTGACAAGTGCTCAGGAAACGTTGCTGCAATGTAAACGAAAACACAGCCAACATCCTAGTGCCAACTCAGGTTGTATTCACAACAGCTCTGATCACACACTGTACTTCCAGAATAAAACACAATGTTTACCGCCAAACTGTCTAACAAATCTCGATTTTACTACGGTCCACAATGCACCCTTTCCGAATTTCTCAGCCTTCGGCTCCACATTCAGGGTTTCCCACTCCTGTCACTCCTATTACTACTGTCCATAATGGCTTTAAAAAACAACAGATCATCATGGAGCACTGCTTTCTCTCACACTTAGTTCCACACCCTGAATGAACTCGGTACGATTCAGTACGTGTTGTGCAAGAACTGCTGACACTACGGTGTTACCGTATCAATTCATGTCCACATCGATTTCTTACCTTATCGCGCAGTGTATGTGGAGAGGTACCGCGACTGTGAATCCAGCCTTGTAATGTTCCTGGCCGCTTTGTAGCTCTGGATGCTAATAGCAGTGACGGAGCTCTTGGGGGTTAAATGGAAAGAGCTGGCGATTGCTTTTATTCCTCTTCCGTGTTCCTCCTTTCACACTGGTCGGTGCACTAACCTAGCAACTATCGGAGATCTCTGCCTTTAAAGGGGCGGGTTCTCAGCACCGCGGAGAAGCTCGGACTTGCTGGATACGAGCAATCCTACTGGCATTGGATGAAATGTTCCAAACTTTAGTCACACGGCTTGTTGCTGGAGACAGGATTGTTTCTTCGATTTGAGGAAATATTGAACACAATTTGGTGTAATTGACACGAGCGTGCAACGCGCACAAGCTTGTAAAGCAAATATTCTCTTTCCCTTTCCACAATTTCGTAATTGGAAATACCTAAGAGACAAAAAAAAACAGGTGCTGGAGTCCAAGGTAAACAAACAGGAGCCTGGAAGAACACACCAAGCCAGGCAGCATCTGGAGGAAAGAAGCAGTAAACCTTTCGGGTATTACCCAGCTTCAGGACTGGATGTGGGTGTAGGGGGGGCTGCACATATTGGGAGGGTGAAGGTGGAATATTGGTGATAGATGGACACTGGTGGTAGGTACGACCTGGTTGGTCGTTGGGAGGGATGAATCTGGTTGGTGGCTGGAAGGGAGGGTCCGTAGTTGGAATGGAAGGGAACAGGTGGGGCTGGAAAGGGAGCCGGGAGATGGGTGGCAAGGTTATTTGAGATTGGAGAATTCAATGTTGAGTCCTCAGGTCTGTAGGGTGTGCAGGCAGAACATAAGGTGTTGTTCTTCAAATTTCTGTTCCAAATCGCTGCGAGACTGGAGGAGGCTGAGGACAGACGTTTTGGAGGGGGAGTGGGACGGGGAATTGAATTGGATGGTGAATTGAAGGTTAGGCTGGCTGTTAACGACAGGCAGAGATGCTCGGCAAAACGGTCACTTAGTCTACATTTGGTCTGACCAATGTAGAGAAGACCACATCGGGAGCACCAGATGCAATAGACTAGGTTGGAGGAGATGCAGGTGAAGCTCTGTCTCACCTGGAAGGACTGTTTAGGACCTTCAATGGAGGTGAGAGAGGTGGTGTGTGGGCAGGTGTGGCATCTTTTACGATTATAGGGGAAGGTACTGGGCGGGTTGGAGTGGTTGGTGGGGAATGTGTGGGAAGTACATCACGTTTCCATAATTGTCTAATGACACAGTCATTTGTATTGTTGCAATGATGTGAAATTTGCCTTTGAATCAGTGCGAAACTTGCTGCCCACCAAGGTGGTGGGGATGGAGTTGAGTATCATGCCCCTGTTGTGGGTGATCCTTTCTTGCAGATGGTTGCATGGAATTGAGTTGTTTGTGGTGACTGTAGTTTGCTGATAGCTCATGAGAGCATATCAATGATCTGTTGTAATTCTACTTTAGCATGAGCACTAACTTATGCATATATTGCAGTTCTAATACAGAAGTGGTTATTAACTTGATTTTAGCCATCAGCTATTTGAGGTTTAAGAGTTTACTAACAGTACGATAAGTTATATCCACATCTGGAGAGAAGCTGTCAGTAATAAATTGCAGTGTTGCTGCAAGAAACAATAAGAATAGTTTTGGTGCAGTGAAACTTAGCAATTTTACATGAATATTTTAAAGGGAATGTGTCTCTGTTGGAGCTATTGTATAATACCTTTATTTGCATGTTGTCATTTAGGAGATCAATGACATTTGTGAACTTAGCTGGGCATCCATTTCACTGTAGAACTTCCAAAGAGCAATTCATTTTATCAAGTCAAGGGATTTTGTATGATCAAAGAAAGCCGTGTACAAAGGGATATTCTGTTTTTGCTTACTTTCTGCACTTGGCATGCTGTGAAGGTGTTGGTTAAATCTCTGACAGACCAGAGGCCAAATTGGACTCCAGGGAGACCCTCTCTGCAATTGACGAAAGATGATTGACAAGTTACTTAACTAGGACTTTACCAACAGTTAAGAGCAATGTTATGTCCCTGTAGTTGTTACAATTAGATTTAAGTCCCTTCTTGAAGATTATCATGTAGCAACTCAAAGGCCATTTGTAATTTCTTCATTCTGCTGTAGTTTCACAAAAAGAACACATGTCAACGTGATCACTATATCTCATTCACACTTCAGGACTTCCACAGCAATAATGTCAGGACCAGAAACTTTGTTTTTTTTTATTTTGTTGGCAGCAGTTAGCACATCATCAAGCAGTGGATCATTGAGTAGCAAATGTCTAAGGAATGTGCAGCAACTGAAAGGTACTTACTAAGATCCCATGACAGTTCATCTCAACAGATGAAGACAACAGACAAGACTTCTGCCATTACCTGAACCTGAAAAAAAGCTCCATGTGATTTACTGTTTCCACTTTTGTTGAATATTGTTAATGTCTAGCTCACTTATAATTGTATATTGTGGGACGTTCTTGAATGTTGTTTGTTTATCATTGAGTTCTAACTGATGCTTCTGTGGAGAGGTTTTCCAGCAGGCATTTATATTGTCCCCTTCTTGCCATCTTTAGATCTTACTGATGCTGACCAATGATTTGAACATTCATAAACCTTTTTGTTTGCATTGAGAAAGGCTCATGTGTCATCCATGTCAGTGAGAAGTTGGATTTTTTCTCTGCTCTCCACTTGTTTTTCAAATCATGTGTTTTTCTTTGAACTTCAACTTTAGTTGCCTGCTAGTAACACTTTTTCTGGCATTTGGATTATGTAGTCAAGTTTCTGTTTATAGAGTCATACAGGTTTACTGGCTCAACTTGTCCATGATGCCCAGTTTTCACAATTAACCTGGTCCCATTTGCCTGCATTTGGTCCATATCCCTCCATACCTATCCCATCCATGTATCTATCCAAATGTTTTTTAAATAACAAAATTGTACTCGCCTCCACCACCGCCTCTAGTAGCCCATTCCAGACACTCACCACCTTCTATGCAAAAAAATTTGCTTCTCTGGACTCTTTTGTATCTCTCCCTTCTCACCTTAAACATATGCCCTCTAGTCTTAGATTGCCCTACCATGGGGAAAAGCTATTAGCTGTCTACCTTATCTATGCCTCTCATGACTTTATTGACCTTTATAAGATCATGCCTCAGTCTCCTGCAATCCAGGGAAAGAAAGTCCCAGTCTATAATTGATGAGTGTTTGCATTTCTGTATTGGTTTTGTCAAACCACTTATTTATTAGTGGCGTGCTGACGACATGTACTGCTGATGTGATAATCAGGAGTGAACATCGCATGTGTTACGGAAGACAGACCATTAAATGGAATTATTTGGTGATCATTGGTATTTCAGACCAGCCAACAAAATGCGCCAACACTATGACAAGTATGTACTCCTTTGTTGTGGTGCAGTGGTACTATCCATCTCTGGATTAAGAGGTGTAGGTTCAAGTCTCACCTGCTCCAGCAATATATAATGTACACCTCTGAACAGGTTGTTTAGAAAATATCTATAAGCCTCCTTTAGGACATCATTCAAAGCATGACTTTTTTTTCATGTTTCTGAATCAGCAGATGTTTATTAACTACAAGTCTCAACGTACGCACATCATGTTGAAAACCAACTAGCCAATAAAGTTAAACAAAAAAAAAACACTGTATCTGTTTAGAAGATAGTTTAATTTAGAAATTATAATTAGCAATAATAGTGAACAAAAATTTCATACATTTTAATTATATTTATTAGTTCACTGCTTTTAAAGGTGGTATTAATCCATTTAAAATAAATGGGTTTACATTTGGATACAAATGCATTAAACATTTATTTGCAAAAGAATCAACAGTGATTATCTAATATTTAAAACAGTTTGCTAAGAGAAAAGTTCCCTCAGTTGACAGTGGGTATATGACACCATGTTTCAGCGTTATCTGTTTGGAAATAAAAAGTGTCAGTCAGTGTTCCTGCTTCCTAAAACTGCTCAATGCCTCTACTGGAAAAGAACATGTTTGTGAATGGCAGTCGAGAACAGATTCCACTTTACCCCTTATTGATGAAATAAAATTACTGACTTGAGAATTCTTAGTGAGATGCGACATCAGTTATGCATCCTCAGAACTTCATCCCAAGAAAAATGACCACCTGTAGGAACAAAATGGAGTAACTGAGACAACAAGGAAAAGTTACCCTAAAGAGAAGAAATGATTTTGCTTCTGTTTCTTGGATTGTTACTTTGCTTTGTTCCTGAAGCATTTAGTAAAATATATAACCTAAAGTTTTGGAGAAGCATATATTTTCCTCTGATTTCTCCATGTTAGTCTCTAACACTGTTTTCATCCTTAAGGAGCTCTTTCAGAGACAGTGGTCTCATTGATGCTACATCCAGTCAGAATACAAGTTTGAATTGTTTATCTTCACCAACAATAGGATTAGATAAAGAGGACATGGGAGGACGTTCATTTAGAGCATAAAAGCTGACATAGACCAAAAGTGCTATATGGACAGTTTCTGTGTAGATGCATATTTGGGAGTCAGACAGGTGTCTTGCAATGTTTATCCAGATATCTCATTTTCAGAACTAAAGCCAAATATCGCTGAATGAAATAAACTATTTTCTTTCCACATTCAACTCTGTGATGGATAATGAATCTGCTGAGAATCTTCCAATGCAGTGAGAGTAAGGAAAGATAAAGTCACCATAGTACTACTAGACCACAGGGCTCCTCTATCATTAGCGAGAGAGAGAGAGAGAGGGAGAGGGAGAGATATGATTGGTGGTGGTATTAACCTGAGATTTACCACGCCTCAGCTGAGGAAACTGATTGAGAAGAAGAGTCCTTCCTTATAGTGTAGGAAATGAACTATTCTGTTGGCAGTACTCTACGTCACAAACCGGTCATCCAGCCAACTAAACTAACCAACCCGTAGTGAGCATGCTGAAGACTGAGTGCTTAGTTGAAATTTCAGTGCTGAGAGAGAAAGGGACTTCCTTTAATCAGTCTTGTGTAGTTTGGTCTCTAAGTTAAGAGACTTTAACTTGCTATTACTAGTAGCACTGCTTGTAAATTAATAACTAATTGACCAAAAAAAAAATATGGCTAGACCGACATAATAGTACACCATGACTACGTCATGTAGGAATCTGTGGAATGTATAAACT